GCCAGTAGTTTTGTACACTGATCATATTTCCACCATTTCCTTCATGTTGTTTCCAGACACTATCCACATCCAACAGCCATCTAATTTAATTTCCCTGTGAAACTGTTTCCCCGCATACTGTTATTTGGAAGCTGCCTGAGAATATCTGTTATTAGAATGTTGTTGTCATGCACATTAAGGTGCACTGCAGCCTGCTCTGCAGTGACTGGAGCTGTGGTTGGACTGCGCCACCTCTGGAGATAATACTCAGGGCCCTCCTCTGCACCCTGTCCAGTTGGGCCTGCTGCTTTTTATTGCATCCAACTAACAGCACAGACCAGGCCTCACCAGGGTAGTATATAGACTGTGACCAGATCTTCAATGGGTAGGCCAGTTCTGGTGAGTACAGTCAAAGTGCAGGCGATTTGAGGCCTTCCTCACAGACTGTGTGTCACCACTGAGGTTAGTCTAGATGAAAACCAAGATACTTGATTGTTGTTACCACTGGTACTTCCTGTCCTCCTAGTATGAGTGGTGCAGGTTGTGGAGGGTCTCTCGAAAGGCATATCTGGTTTTCCACAGACCCATTCAGGAGCATGTTATTGGATATGGCCCACTCATCCAGCTGCTTTGCCTCCAAGCCCATGGAAGTGTCCTCCTGGATGCTGGTTAGTGGTATATGGCTCAGGACAGCCCCACATCATCAGCATACCCAGTGTCACTGAAGACAACTTTTCGGGTGGACATGTGAAGGAGAAAAGGATCTGGTGAGACCACGCCCTCTTGTGGCACCCTCTGACCAGGGGCTGAATGTGCCATTCATCATCACCCTCTCCCTTCCTCTGGTGGTGTAGCTGTGGAGCCAGGCTAGTAACCACGGACACAGTTAAATGTCAGCCAGATTTTGCAGGAGCTTTGGGAGGGTAGTTTGGCAAGCTACCGCCAAAACACTTCTTAAATCCCCTAATCTCTGTAGCATCTACAGCTCAGCGTTCAACACCATAGTGCCCTCAAAGCTCATCACTAAGCTAAGGACCCTGGGACTAAACACTTCCCTCTGCAACTGGATCCTGGACTTCCCGACGGGCCGCCCCCAGGTGGTAAGGGTAGGTAACAACACATCCACCACGCTGATCCTCAACACAGGGGCCCCTCAGGGGTGCGTGCTCAGTCCCCTCCTGTACCCCCGTTCACTCATGACCGCATGGCCAGGCACGACTCCAACACCATCATTAAGTTTGCAGATGACACAACAGTGGTAGGCCTGATCACCGACAACAACGAGAAAGCCTATAGGGAGTAGGTCAGAGACCTGGCCGTGTGGTGCCAGGACAACAACCTCTCCCTCGATGTGATAAAGACAAAGGAGATGATTGTGGACTACAGGAAAAAGAAGAGGACCGAGCACGCCCCCATTCTCATCGACGGAGGTGTAGTGAAGCAGGTTGAGAGCTTCAAGTTCCTTGGTGTCCACATCACCAACAAACTAACATGGTCCAAGCACACCAAGACAGTCGTGAAGAGGGCACGACAAAACCTATTCCCCCTAAGGAGACTGAAAAGATTTGGTATGGGTCCTCAGATCCTTAAAATGTTCTACAGCTGCACCATCGAGAGCATCCTGACTGGTTGCATCACTGCCTGGTATGGCAACTGCTCAGCCTCCGACCGCAAGGCACTACAGAGGGTAGTGCGTACGGCCCAGTACATTACTGGGACCAAGCTTCCTGCCATCCAGGACCTCTATACCGCATGGCAAGCGGTACCGGAGCGCCAAGTCTATGTCCAAGAGGCTTCTAAACATCTTCTACCCCCAAGCCATAAGACTCCTGAACATCTAATCAAATGGCTACCCAGACTATTTGCATTGCCCCCCCTTTTACGTTGCTGCTATTCTCTGTTTATTATTTATGCATAGTCACTTTAATAACTCTACCTACATGTGCATATTACCTCAATTACCCCGACTAACCGGTGCCCCCGCACATTGACTCGGTACCGGGACCCCCTTTATATAGCCTCGCTATTGTTTTTTTGCTATTTGTTTTGGTATTCTTTCTTTTTTTATTATTTTATTCTATTTATTTAACCTTTATTTAACCAGGTAAGCCAGTTGAGAACAAGTTCTCATTTACAACTGCGACCTGGCCAAGATAAAGCAAAGCAGTGCGATAAAAACAACAAACACAGAGGAATAAACAAAACGTACAGTCAATAACACAATAGAAAATCTATATACAGTGTGTGCAAATGTAGTAAGTTATGGAGGTAAGGCAATAAATAGGCCATAGTGCAAAATAATTCACCCCGTTCCTCTGCACACTCCACTGGCTTCCAGTTTAAGCCTGCATCTGCTACAAGACCATGGTGCTTGCCTACGGAGCTGTGAGGGGAACGGCACCTCCGTACCTTCAGGCTCTGATCAGTTCCTACACCCAAACGAGGGCATTGCGTTCATCCACCTCTGGCCTGCTGGCCCCACTACCTCTGCGGTATATATATTGTAAACATCACTGCTCTAGAGGAGATCTGCATGGAGGAATGGGCCAAAATAACAGCAACAGTGTGTGTGAACCTTGTGAAGACTTACAGAAAACGTTTGACCTGTGTCATTGCCAACAAAGGGTATATAACAAAGTATTGAGAAACTTTTGTTATTGACCAAATACTTATTTTCCACCATAATTTGCAAATAAATTCATTAAAAATCCTACAATGTGATTTTCTGGATTTTTTCCCCTCATTTTGTCTGTCATAGTTGACGTGTACCTATGATGAAAATTACAGGCCTCTCTCATCTTTTTAAGTGGGAGAACTTGCACAATTGGTGGCTGACTAAATACTTTTTTTCCCCACTGTATGTGAAAATTGCACATTTCTATGTTTTGTAGTAAAAAATATAGAAGGCAAGTTTTTCCAATGACATTGTGTGATTTTAACCAATTCTGAGTAGGCATTGCCTACTATTTGGTTCATGATATAATTGGAAACACTTATTTTCCTCTACCTTTACTACAAAACAGAAATGCGCAATGTTCACATATGTTGTTGTTGGGGTGGTGCTGGAGATATGAAGTTTTTTTTTTTTTTTTTATGTTCCTTTAAGTACTGGTCCATGAATATATTCCAACAGATACAGACATAAAGATATACGTTTGACAAAACCTTCCATTTAACTTTGGTTACCAGAAAGTATTACTTGATAACACTTTTATATGAACATTAAGTTAGACAAGAGTGTGTCAGGGTGTTGGAAGTGGAAGCAGGAAATACAGATGTCAGTGTACTAGTTAGCCTATTCAATCATGCAAGTGTGCCTGGGCCTGGCTCCAACCCCTCTCAGATCCATCTATGGCCCCAAACCTCCATGCATAGATTCGTCTACCACACGCCATGGGAAGACATCAGATGGGTAACAGATTGTCAAAAGTTGCCAGCGGCTTGGACGCACATCACCTATTCATCATTATCTAAAAGATGGAGAGAAAGAGGGGACGGGGAGAGAGAGAGAGATGGGAATCATGTTAAAACCAAGGAGTTTTTGCAATCATATTATTAAATTCCCATTTCCATTAACCCAAGCCAGTGACCCTGAACACTAAAGTACAGAGGGGAGATAAAGGTCAAACACTTGAATCTGGCACCATGCAAGACAAAACAGCATTCAGCAGGATCACCATTTAAAGATCAATGGAGGCAAGTTGCTCTAATCTTCAGCGACAGGTTAGACAAATTCCCATTACAGACTAGTTTAAAGCGGCAGAGTAAAAGCGTTGGAAATCAGAAGCCTTCAGCTTCACAGAGAGAAACCCTCCTTCCTGCCTGTGCCTGGCTCCATTAACATGACCCTCTCTGCTCTTATTGTCTAAATGGAAGGGCTTGAGGCACACATGAGATCAAATTAAAAAATGGATCGAACAGCAAGGCTGTTAGAGACAAACAGACCAGCAGTGGAAGTCTAGACAGAATAGTCTAGACAGCATGGTAAGGAGGGAGAGAAAGACAAGTGTTTATTTTATCCAAAGAGTAAGAAGAGAGAACAAAACAAAGAGAGCAGAGAGACAGTCCAGAGAGATCGAGAGCTTTGTCTGAAGCCTCTGCTCTCATGTCCTGGGGGAGTTCCGTTCCGTTCTGTCAGACACAAATTAAACTCTTCCCCCCACACCTCCCCAGTGTCTGACAGCTGACTCGGCACAGGAGTCTGAGGAGGGGGGGGACAGACGGACAGTCTTTAGGGTGTGTTTCACATCACAGTCCAAGTGACTGGGTAGAGCCATGGGGCGTTAGGAGAGAATAGCAGATTGGGCAGATTAGATTAATAGAAGAACACATCATGCGTGCCTGTGATTTAAACATGAGGGAAAATAGATCTGTCAAAACAAAGGGAAAAATGAGAGAAGGTGGGATGCTTTGGCAATGTTAACATATGTTTCCTATGCCAATAAAACCCTTAAATTGAAATTAAATGAGAGAGAGAGAGAGAGACTGACTATGTGCACACTGCCCACAAAATGAGGTGGAAACTGAGCTGCACTTCCTAACCTCCTGCCAAATGTATGACCATATTAGAGACACAAATTTCCCTCATATTACAAAGAATTCGAAAACAAACCCAATTTTGATAAACTCCCATATCTACTGGGTGAAATACCACAGTGTGCCATCACAGCAGCAACCAGTGAAGAACAAACACCATTGTAAATACAACCCATATTTATGTTTATTTATTTCCCCATTTGTACTTTAACTATTTGCACATTGTTACAACACTGTATATATACACATGACATTTGAAATGTCTTTATTATTTTGGAACTTCTGAGTGTAATGTTTACTGTTAATTTTTTATTTCACTTTTGTTTACTATTTACTTCACTTGCTTTGGCAATGTTAACATATAAAGCCAGAGAGCGAGAGAGAGAGCGAGAGAGACCCTCTTGGTAGGCTCCATCAGCCATGACCAGGTGAAGGATGTTGGGGTACAGGTGCTGGTGCTCAGTCCCCAGGATGTTCAGTACCATGTCGGGGCCCATGTCGATGTTCTCATCTTCATGAATTGCCTTTAATGGTACAATTACATATTCAATTACCATCCGTAATTGCTGTACGATAGATCATAAATTACACCAGGAGGGTAGAGGGTAAGCAGGTCCCATCTATACCTTGATCTTATTGTAGGCCTCTATAAAGTTCTCAAAGCCTATCTCCTGCTCCAGGTTAAAACACAGCTCCTCCAGACGGCTGTAGATTCTGTCCTGCTGTTCAGCTTCAACATCCTCCTCCTCCTCACCATTGTCATCTGGTGTTCACACACACAATCCTATTGACAATCTGCTTCTGGCTGCATGCATTGGAACTATTGTGCATGTGGATTAAAGGATTACTAATGTACCTGATTGCCATTCTTCATTGAGCTGGCTCTCACTGTTGTGGTGCTCCTCTTCCTCCAGTCCGTTAGGGAGTGTGTGTCCTGCCTCTTCATCACCTGGACTCCCATTAGAACCCTCCTCATCCACAGCCATCCCGTTCAGCTCCTCTACCTCAGCAGAATCTTCATCATCATCATCCTCAGCAGGGTTGCCATTGAAGCAATCTCCTCCCTCTTCCTCTGGAGGGCTCCCGTTAGAGCCAGAGCCCCCCTTGTCTTCATCACCCCTCTTCTCTTCCTCACTGCGCTCCTCCTGCAGGAGTCTCTCCATGGAGGCCCTTAGCTCCCTCAGGTCATCATCCGGATACACACTGAGAGAACACAGCTCATATTACTCACAGCACAACTTCACTATATACATGTTTTCATACTGCACAAAGCATGTTCCTCATGACACAAAGAAGTGAACTTAAGTTTCTATCTATCAAACATATACTCCCTGTGTTTGTGTGTGTGTAGTGCAAGTGTGTGAGTGTCTTACTCCTCAGTCTCTGATTGTTCTGCCTCCATGTCCTCTATCTCCAGGTTGTTGTTGTCGTCGGGGGCAACAGCCCTGTTGGCCCCTCCTGCAAAGAGCTGAACAGTCTGCTGAGGTCTGGGAGAGAACAGGTCCGCAGCATCTGAGGACACACACCACACAGCCTGCCAGTCACACTCCCATACACCCACCGTGACTAACTAAATATCACACATGCAAATTCTTAGCGCCAGCTCATGACTTTCATAACTCAAAGGTTTGCACCAGGATTAGTTTTGTTGCCTTAAATAAGTTGTAGTGCAGCCAGGTCAGGTGCCCAGAAGCTTAAGAAACCGAATACAATTGTAATATGTGAAAAATGCCTTTAACCTTGGGCCAGTTAAATGTGTCAGTGTGAGGTGTCAGTTGGAGTATGTTTGAGGACATGGGTGGGTGTGCATGTGAGTGTGTGTGCGTACGTGCGTGCGTGAGGCAGGCAGGTGGAGTGGCTCTGGTATGATGACACATTAGGGATGTGGAAGAATGTCATTAATAACGCTGTGTCCAGGGAGAGCCATCACTGAAAACACACATGCAGGGCTCAGACCTAGACCTGAGCGCGCACACACACAGCTCAAAGTTGGAACTCTGCACAGACATACACAGTCCCTACAAAAATAACAGGGAACTTGGGCCTCTCTCCCTGGTAGAGGTTATGAAAGATAATTGTCCTCTCTCTCCCGTCAGGCTCTCTTCCAGACCATGTGATTAATAGGACTGGCTCCATTCCAGAGCCCTTCATTAATAACGATTGAATCAGAGCCTAAAAATACCACAGAACCCCCACATTTCACCAGGCACAGGCAGAAGGGTTCGAGTACATTTTCTGAACATCTACCACAGCTGTGCATCACATTACTGTAGAGGACAGAATAATAGATCTCATATGAATGGAAGGCCCTGCGATAGACTAGCGTCCAGAGGGTATACTTGTACATCAAGCTGCCTCACGCTACCGAAACAGGAGACTGATCCTACGAGACATTCCGGCTCGCACAAGTTAAGGCTTGTTCAAGGCTACATACTTACGGGAGTGGCAAGTAGCCTAGTGGTTAAAAGCATTGGGCCAGTAACCGAAAGGTTGCTGGTTCAAATCCCCAAGCTGACTAAGTGAAACATCTGTCGATGTGCCCTTGAGCAAGGCACTGAACCCTAGTCGCTCTGGATAAGAGCGTCTGCTAAATGACTAAAATGTAATTGTGATTGATATATGATACTGGCTGATAGAAATTAACCATTTCATTTTATAGAAGAAATGTGCTCGTTACTTGTGTTGTGATTGTGTACTATTATAGGAGGATGTTCAGGGACAGGGTTACTATATTAGTGTGATTATGAGAATGTTATTACTTCTTTATTCATAATATTTCCTTTATAATTCCACATCCATCCATTCTCTTTAGTTATTATCCCCAGTCTCCATGAGGAGAAGTGTTGTTATTCACCTTGGGGTTGTTGGCGTCAAACTGGCCGGTGGAGAGGCCGATGAGGAGGGTGTTGTGGTGTTTGGAGCGGAGCGACGGAGCGACGGAGCGCGAGGCCAGAGAGGAGGACGAGTCCTCCATGGATAACTGGGTTGACATTAAGAACCAGAGCTGCAGTACGACGGTGGGGCGAGGAGGAGCACAGCTTCATAAACAGAGGTTCCTCACACACTGGCACTATGCCTAGACGGAGGGAGGGACAGAGAAAGAGAAAAATAAAAAGGGAGGTGAGCATGGGACACCAGCTTCACCGAAAAGGCAGTGTCTCTCAGTTTACCTGAGGATTCAGCCCTCTCTCCAATCACCTTGGTTTCTGCTGGTGTTACTCTGCCCTCTGCTGGCCTAATAGGGAAGTCACACACAAAATACAATGAACGTATCCATTAGGAATTCCGTTTCCAACACATAATTCTTTATAATTGAGTTTCATGAACATGTCTTGAATAGTCAAAGAATATGGCTAAGCTTCATTACAGTTCAAGTCACATTTTAGTCTAGAGGTATTTAATCCAATGTTTATTTATTTTTATTTATTTTTATTTTTATTTTTATTGGGGGAATGGATCAGCTTAATATTGCAGATAGATTGTATCTTCTATCAATGTAATTGTCTGCATCACTTCCAATCCCCCCTTTATTACTTTTCAACCCCACCATCCTTTCCCTACTTGGAGTAAATTAGTGAACAACAATGCCCAGGCCTCTACTTCCGGTCTATACTTACTATCTACACCTTATGGACAGAGTTAATTTTACAATAATTCTATTATATATATATATATTTTTTTTTTGTTTGTTTACTTTTTTTTGCTCCTGAACTTCTTCTACTCTCAACCTCTCCGATCATTTTCATGATGTCCATCCGGTTTGCTTCTATATGCCATATCTTTCTAACTGTGCTCTTTCCCAAAAGCTCCCAACATACAACCTATATACTTACTATGGACACAGTATGCTTACATTATTAGCTATCTTTGTTATTATTTGTTGTTATTTGTTATTAGTCCCATCCTTCAACTCTATTCAATACCTCCCATCTATCTCTTAACACCATCCATATAGGATTTCTATTTGCCATATATATTTCAACCGTACTGTGATGTTTTACAAAAGTTCTGAACCTTTCTATTCTCATTGCTTCTACAGATTGTGAATTAAAAATAAACATTTTTGCTAAAAGTATTATTATATTATTGATTGATTGACTATGACTTTTCAGATCACCCAGTAATGCTATCTGCAAGGTTAGCTCCAGGTAAATATTGCAATCCTTTAGCCATTCCTGGACCTGTGTCCAAAAACAAGCTACAAATGGACAGAACCAAAACAAATGATCTAATGATTCTGTCTCTTCACAGCAAAATCTGCAGAGCTGGGAAGATTGTATCCCCCATATAAATAACATTCTATTGGTAGCAAGAATTTTATATAATAATTTAAATTGAAAGATTCAAATTTTTGAATCCGGTGTCGTTTTGCGTGTCAGTTCATAAACACTATGCCATGGGATCGGTACGTCAAAGATCTCTTCCCAACTATTTTGCAATCTATATGGGACGGCTGTCAATCCTTTGGTCCTTAAGTGAAACTGATATACTTTTTTATTTATCACAGTTTTCCTTAACCAATTATGTTCTTTAATGCAAGGCCGACAGACAAGTTCCTTACTTTCTCCCCCTTCCACTTTCCTCTTCCACTTTTGCGGTAAGGCTGCAATTATTTGGTTGTAATTTTGGGTAGAGCAGACATTTCCATATGTTTTTGTTAGCTGCATGTGCGACATAACTCCACCAGTCCTACCGATGATATCATTTACGAAGATTATACCTTTTTTAAACATTCTGTCAAAAAATATAGGTTTTTTGTCAATTAGTATATTTGAATTTAACCACAATATTTGTTGCATTATTTGTTCTGTCGTTTCTGGAGGATTAAATTGAAATTGCAACCAACTTTCTATGGCTTGTTTTAGAAATAGTGATATTTGGGAGATTATTTCCTTTTCAAATAACTGAAAGTGAGAGGTTGTAATCTGAATAAAGGGAAAAAGGCCTTTCTTGAACATTGGGTGAGACAATCTTACTAATTTGCTTGAGAACCAGTTCGGATTTAAGTATAACTTTTGTATGACTGAAGCTTTTAGTGATAGGTCTAATGCTTTAATATTTAATAATTTCTGTCCTCCGAATTCATATTAATTATATAAATATGCCCTTTTAATTTTGTCTGGCTTGCCGTTCCAAATAAAATTGAATATTTTTTTCTCATATAATTTATAAAACTGTTCGCTAGGCGTAGGCAAGACCATAAGCAAATAGGTAAACTGGGATAATACTAAAGAGTTAATCAGGGTGATTTTTCCACAAATTGACAGGTATTTTCCTTTCCATGGTAGTAAGATCTTATCTATTTTTGCTAACTTTCTATCAACATTTATTGAAGTGAGATCATTTATTTCCTTTGGGATATGTATTCCGAGTATATCCACATCACCATCAGACCATTTTATTGGTAAACTACATGGTAATGTAAAAATTGTATTTTTTAGTAATCCAATACGTAATATAGTACATTTGTCATAATTTGGTTGTAATCCAGAGAGGTTAGAAAATGTATCTAGATCCTCTATGAGGCTGTGGAGGGATTATAGTTGTGGATTTAAAAGAAAACATGAACCATCAGCGTACAATGACACCTTTGTTTTTAAGCCCTGTATTTCTAATCCTCTGATATTATTATTGGATCTGATTTTAATAGCTAACATCTCGATGGCCACAATAAATAGATATGCCGATAGTGGACAACCTTGTTTCACTCCTCTTGACAGTTTAAAACGTTCTGAGAAATAGCCATTATTTACTATTTTACACCTAGGGTTACTATACATGATTTTGACCCATTTTATAAGAGATTCTCCAAAATGGAAATGCTCCAGGCATTTATATATAAACCCCAGTCGAACTTTATCAAATGCCTTTTCGAAGTCTGCTATGAATAGCAGGCCTGGTTTCCCATATTTTCCATAGTGTTCTATTGTTTCCAATACTTGCCTTATATTATCTCCAATGTATCTTCTATGTAAAAAACCTGTCTGATTAGAATGAATAATATCCGACAATACCTTTTTAATTCTATGCGCTATACATTTTGCTAGGATTTTTGCATCACAACACTGAAGTGTAAGGGGCCTCCAATTTTGTAAATGGACTGGATCTTTATATTTTCCACTTGTATCCTGTTTCAGTAATAATGAGATCAGACCTTCTTCTTGAGTGTCAGATAATCTACCATTTACATAGGAGTGGTTAAAACATGCTAATAACGGTCCTCTTAGTATATCAAAAAAGGTTTGGTATACCTCGACTGGTATGCCATCCAACCCTGGAGTTTTCCCGGACTTAAAGTCTTTAATTGCATCCAGAAGTTCCTCCTCTGTAATTTCACCTTCACATGAGTATTTTTGTGTGGCTGTTAATTTGACATTATCAATAGAAAAAAAATCTCTACAATTAGCTTCAGTTAGAGGAGATGGAGGCGACTGAAAAGAAAACATATGCTTAAAGTACTTTGTTTCTTCCTTCAAAATATCATTTGGTGAATTATGGGTGACTCCGTCAATTGTAACCAGTTTCATTAAGTTATTTTTGGTAGCATTCCTATGTTGAAGATTAAAAAAGAATTTTGTGCATTTTTCCCCATGTTCCATCCAGTTTGCTTTATTTTTATAATATATTACACTTGATCTTTCTTGAATAAGTTTCTCCATTTCTTTTTGTTTTTCCTCTAATTTATTCTGAGCCTCTATGTTACAGTTTTTATTGCCATCTATCTGTTCTGTTAGACTTTCTATTTCCTTTCTTAGTATAAACTCTTTTGACCTAAATTGCTTTTGTTTTCGAGATGAGTACTGAATTGCATGGCCTCTAAAGGCACATTTAAAGGTGTCCCATACAATAAGGGGATTCGCTGTACCTATGTTATGTTGGAAAAAGTCAGTTATAAATTCCTTTGTTCTAATATTAAATAAATGATCATCCAATAGGCTTTGATTAAATTTCCAATATCCTCGCCCACGTGGAAATTCAGTAAGAGTAATGTATATGCCTATTATATGATGGTATTAATTGTTTGATTTATAATATAAATAATAATAATATGCCATTTAGCAGACGCTTTTTTCCAAAGGGACTTACAGTCATGTGTGCATACATTTTTACGTATGGCTGGTCCCGGGGATCGAACCCACTACCCTGGCGTTACAAGCGCCATGCTCTACCAATTGAGCTACAGAGGACCACAAATGTTGTAACAATGCAGAGGGCTGCAGAATGTGCTCTGTCCCGCCAATTTGTTCACATTAATTTTTTCATAATTCATTGTGTGAATTGTTTACGTTTGATTCCCCCATTACATATATCACCAGTAGTACATTTACTGTTAATTCCTAGCTAACGAAGCTAGCTAACCCACTACCTGGACTAGCTGGCGGGTAGCTACTGGTAACTATTAGCAACTGTGGATAGTTGTTTCACGCCTGAGAGTGCCTGTAATTACGCCAGCTAGCTGCCTACAATAATTACATACAATAATGCCTACCATTCAGCTGTTTTTCTAACCTCATTGTCTGAAGCGTTAACGTTAGGTAGTAAGTGGCTACTGTGCTTGAAATTTAGCTAGCTTGTTGCTACCTGGATAGCTACTAGTAAACTATAGCTGGAACGACCTAGCGAACAGACGCGAACTGGCTGAGTCAATTCAGTGGCTAGCTTTGCACTTGGCTAGCTAACAGTAGCTGCTAGGGGTAAGTTATAACCTACATTTGTGTTTTGTTTTTACATACTGGTAGCCAGAGTCGTTCAAGGGAATTCGGGACATGGGTGACTAGTTAACGTTAGCTTGGCTCTCTCTGTGTGTTCGTGCCGTGGGAGGACGGGTTTCTTCTTTGTCTGAAAGCAATGGCTAGCTAGTATGCTAACTATTCTAGCTAACTAACTGGCTGAATAAGTTGACGACGGACTCGCTCAAGCTGTCGGGACTAACCCACAACGTTAGACACGGACACTAATTATCTGCTTGGGGTGTTGACACACTGGTGGTTTGTTGTGGCCGAGTATTGGTGCTAAACTGTGTTGTTGGAGTCCGGCATGCTAGTTGGCTGTGGCGTCATATGACTAGGTGCCCTGGACGATTTTCACGGAAGAATACTGTACCAAGTTAGCTAGCTGAATAAACTAAGTTAGTCTATTCCTAGAAAACATTGAACCGCTGTAGTTTACAACAATTATAGTTTCTGAGGTGGAAGTTGGGAGAGTTATATTTGTGTGTTTCAGTGAAAAGTAAG